GGAGCCCGAGGCATGGAAACATGTGGAAGTCATATATATAGACATTGCAGATCGAAGCCAAGTACTTAGCAAGGTAGGAACTATTTTAAGATGTGGGTAGCCTTCGAGATGCAGAAATGACTTCTAAGTATTAGAGAAACCTAGAAACCATACCCAGTTTGGCTTAAAAGGAAGTTTTCTCTGGTGTGCATTATTTGTTTTATTTTAAAGTTAGTATTAGTAGTTCCTTTGTCTTGAGGTGGGGATACTACCATGAAAATAGTGGCCTAAATTTGTGTCTCTTCTCTGGCCTCTGGAAATTATTACTGGACAATGTAGGTGCTATAGGTAGTGGGGTATTTTGCTCTGTTGAAAGGATGCTTAGCCTGAATAATCAGAGCACTAGTTCCCAAATTTATTTTTCCAACCCAGTGTTTAAAAAACATTTATTTCCTGCCTGTTGTGTTTGGAATACTGTCTTAGGTTCTCTGGGTTCCAGGTGAGATTATATGAAAAGACAGGTCCTCTGCCTTCAAGAAGTTGGTGGTGGCATTTTAGAGTAACAAACATTGCAGCAGGTGCCTGGAAAAGGACAGTCCACAGCTAGACCAGAAGCTGGGTGAGAACAGGGACCAGATCTGACTTGCTTACTCACTGTTATGCTCCCAGGAATTATCTGTTCAAGGAATAAGAGGATTAAATTCCCCCTCATTCATTACTGTTCTTATTAGACAGAGGCCTTGTTGGGATTAGGAGACAGGAATTTAACTCTCTGCCCATTGATAGGGAATAAGTGTTTGCTTTTTGTATCCCATGGGTGTGATACCTCTCTCCTTTGGTCAGTCTGTACACTTAAGATATTAATATTTTGATTTGTCTATTTCTAAAAAGATAAGAAGACCATCTTGGGCTTTCTTGCCTAATATCCCTACCCCCAATGTCAAAAGGTTAGTGGATTTTTCAAAAAACTTTTTACTGAAGTATAACACATATAGCAAAATGAATATATCATAAGTGTGCAGCTTGATGAATTTTCTTAAACGGAACATACCCAACTATTTCTCAACCAGAATACTAGCAAAAAGTATTGTTCTTTAAGTATTTTGTCAACTCTGGTTTTACATGTGAGTGGAGAGAAGCAATGGTGGGGGAGATTTATTTTTCTAAAGCACACGGAAATAATCTCCTTAGCTTTGGGAAATACTTGAAAGAGGGAGAGTGTGTGTGAGAAAGAGATGTATTATCTTCATTATTTTTGTTAAGTAGATGCTATAATGAGTTTGCTTTTCCTGAGCCTACATTAGTCAGTGTAGGCCAGCCAAAAATTAAACTTTTGTTGTGGTTGATTAACACAGAGAATTGACTGCATTATGAATCAGTGAAGTGAGACTGACCAGTAGTGGAAAGGTTCTATATACCGAACATTTCTAATAATGATTTTATTAAAACAAGCCATAGGGAGATTATACTAAAAGATTTCAGGAATGACAGCCAGTTATTTTCAGCTCTGATAGTATTTTAGAATCACCTGCAGAGATGTAAAAAAAATTCCAGGCTGCCTTCACTTGAAGATATTTTTATTCACTGAGTTTTAGGTGGGGTGGCCCAGAAATTTTGCAAAACTCTTCTCTGGTGATTTTGATGCTCACCCCAGTTTCAAAATCTCTGTCTTAAACACTGGAAATATGTGTCTGCTCAGACAGTCTGGTAATACTTCATACTGGTAAAATTGAAAGCAAACCTTGGCAGAGAAAATCACATAGAATTGTCCTCTGAGGCAAATGTAAACAGCTCTACATCTTGTTTATAACATTTTCCAATATTTGCTCTATGCCTGCAGCATCAAGAACTAGTATGAAGTGTATGCTAATGAAAAATCTGTTTTCCTTTCTCTCTCCCCCTACCCTTCTCCAACCCAAATTCCACAACATCTCTCAGGATTACAAGCCAGAGGAAGACCCAGCAAAATTTAAATCTATCAAAACAGGCCGAGGACCCTTGGGCCCAAATTGGAAGGTGCAGTTCACACCGTTACCACCAGGGGGCCGGGCGTGGTGTGGGTGGGCCTTACTCCGTGGAGGAGGGGAATGGCTGGGGCTGGGCTCAGGGACAGCCTGAGGTCTGCCCTCTTAGTTACCTGCCTGCCTGTGGGTATGTTTCTAATGCAGCAAGAACTTCTGAATCAGAGAGACTGCCCATATATGTGTGCATACAAACTGGTTACCGTGAAGTTCAAGTGGTGGGGCCTGCAGAACAAAGTGGAAAACTTTATACATAAGGTAAGTAACCAGGGTGAGGTCTTTCCCAGTGACCTCTGTGTGTGTGTGTGTGTGTGTGTTTTGCCCAACAAGAGAAGAGCATACAGTCCACATGACCTGTATCATAGGGTTGCCAATATTAGAATTACTTCACAGTTTGGTTTCCCTACGTCCCCTTGCATTTAACTGTCTTACAGTTTAATGCTGTCCATCCAGGGACACCACATGTGACAGGGATGGAAACCAAGGCAAAAGAAGGAAACAGGAAGGGACTTGCTATGACTGAACTACAAATAAAACTCAGTCTTTCTATTCTTGAAGCCTAAAGGCAAGAGGTATTGTGAGCCAAATTCCCTAGTATCCTGAATTACTCCACTGGGCAGACCTAAGGAGTTTTATAGCCCTTTAATTCTCTGATGTGTTAGAAACCTCACTCCTTGGTCACATTTCACAGCTACTGGCCAGTTTTAATCTGGCATTGGGCACCGGAAACAAGGATGAAATTTGGTGGTTGTTTTGGAGCCTTGGCTTGCATAGGAGCTCCTGGGCTACCTGTCCTATAGTATTTTAGGCAAAGGGCCTAGCTGTGAAGTAGGCTCCCATTGTGTCTTGGGGGCTGCCTCCTATTTGAAGCCATACATGTGAAGGCAAAGGTCGCTGACCTATGGCTGATACAGAGAAGCCAACCAGGCATCACTGCTCCCCACTTCCCCAGTAAAGTGTGGGTGTTAGCACAGAGATCATGGGGGGAACAGCTGTAGCAGTGGCCTTCACCTTCTGGGTTCTAACTTGGTTCCTTCCTTTTTATAGCAAGAGAAGCGTCTGTTTACAAACTTTCACAGGCAGCTGTTCTGTTGGCTTGATAAGTGGGTTGACCTGACCATGGACGACATTCGAAGGATGGAAGAAGAGACGAAGAGACAGCTGGATGAGGTAAGTGGGATCCACAGGAGGCTCTGGGCCTCTCCTGTGAATAGTAAAGAGACTGTTGTGCTGGGGCACTTCACTGAGACCACCATCCTATAGTCTAGTCACATGTCAGTGTCTGCTATGGATGAAGTATAATACCAGGCAATATAGGAACTATAAGGAATGTGCTCTTGAATTTGTCATTTCACAGAAGTCTTGGTATACCCAGAGACAAAGACGGTAGTAGGTGCCAAATGCCAAATGAGTAATGCAGCCACTGCAGTGATTCTTCAGAGCCAGGTGGGGGAGATTGTGCTGGGCTGCAGAGTTGGAGGTGACCCTGGGAGGAGGCAGGCTGGCTGATCTGTGAATACCGTGCACATCACCCACAGAGGATAGCAGCAGCACACGAAGGAGCTGACTGCTCTATATGGTGGTTTTGAGCTATTTTTAGAGCTTGGAGCGCTTTTTTTTCTGGTCTTGGCATGGATCCCAGAAGGAAGGCTAACTGCTCTGTGGGTGCCTGAAGACCCAGCACTCGTCCTGCCTCATTTGGGGCTGCTTCCCTGAGAGGACTACTCAGAGAAGATTGTCAGTAAATAACATTCCGGCATTCACTGTGTGCTAGGCACCATTCTAGGGGCTTTTGCATACACAATCTCAATGCAATCTTCACAACACCCTGGGAAGAGGCCTTGCCGTTAGTCCCACCCTTAGATGAGGGAAGGGAGGCTCTGAGAGCTCATTGCTGCCGTGCCTAGGTGATAGAGTGACGGCAAAGGCCCAGGGCTCTGTCCCATAGCTCTTACCTCTACTCCTCCCTCTAAATGCCATTTGGGGCCCTCCTGCCCTCTTGGGGCTAAAAATAAAGTAAGGCAGGAAGCTCTGTTTCAGAACTGCCATTTCTCCCTCCTTGCCCTGGGTGGGGTTTGGCGTGGAGCCTGGGTGTCCACAGAGGTGCTGCCTTGCCCAGCTCTCCAGCAGGGCTGAGCTACGAGCCAGGCTTGCATGCCTACACAGATGCTTTCTGCCTCGCTGTGCTGGTCTAGGGTGGAAACTGGGCCCAGAAGCTCTTCCTTCCTCTGGAGCCCTGCATGGAACTGTTTTACCATCCAGGATGACACTCTTCCTGGGCAAACTCACTGGGAAGTGCTGTACTAAATTAGTTCCTGTTGAAGGCAGATGTTTGGGTTATTCACTCAGCTGCATTTGGCAGTGAAGTGGTAGGATCCGGGGCACGATCCCTGATTCTTCTGCTAAGGATGCCCAGGAAGCCGTAGACCTCAATGTCCAGGGCTTTGCTGATTCTGACTGTGTAAGAGAGAGGCCTGAGTCTTTTGGTCACACTAATCCTGCCAGAAAGAAAGGAAACAAGTTTCCAAATGGAGGAACACAGAGAAGCCTCGGGCTTCACCCACACACTGCCTGACAAAGGCCATCATAAAGCACATTGGGGTTCGTGGAAGTATTTGCTGATCACATTTTGTTCTTTGGGTACAATTCATATTCTTAGAGCTGGAAGAACTCTCCAGAGATCTACTGGATCTGTTTTCCTCATATCCAAAATTTGAGAGCCCTCAGAGTGAGGGATTCTTTCTCTTCCCCCTTTGATATTTCTCTATTCCATGGAGGAACGTGCCAAAAACTTAGATGATCACTGTCCTCCAGGATAACTGCAAATGCAAGAAACTTTGGAATTAGAATTTTAAAACTAATTTGCAGTAGAAGAGAAAGCAAAACCGAATCCATGTCATTCTGGCACGTTTTGACCTCTTTAGCAACTGTACAGGACTTTTGTATGCTAACTGTACCCCTGGCTTACTTATCTTTTTTTTTTCTCTGTCTAAAAATATATTTCTTTTATCAGAGTTTTATTTTTATAGTTTTAAAACTCAGCATCCCCAGCTTATGAGAAAAAAGCTGCCCTCTTCTGTCCCACCTGCCGAGAAGCAGCTCCTTGCAGTTCTTTACGGGGATGAGTCTTCACATAGTTTGGTTTGGTTGGTGTGTGATCTATGTTGCATAATAATGTGATTGGTGTTGCTCCATTCTCAGTCATTTTGCTCCCAGTCGTTGGGTACTTTAAATCAAAAGATCTCTTCAGTCCTGGAAAAAATGTTTTTGTATTATTTATTTGATACACTATTTTCTTTGGTCTCTTTCTAGAATTTTTATTAGTCAGAAGTTGGACCCCATGAATTAACCCTCTAATTTTCTTACATTTTCTTTCCTTTTTAGTCTGCTTTCTGGGGGATTTTTTTCCAATGTTAAATTCCATTTCTTCTGTTAATTTTTTTAAAGCATTTCTTACTTTGTGTTCTTTATTAATATATCTATTTCCTTTTTCTACATGCATTATCTTCCTTTTCTGAAGCTGCAGTTTTTGTTTTTTGAGGTTTCTCTTTGCTCCCTGAAATAATCTGTTTCCTCTGGGCTCCTTTGTCCAGTTTGTGTTGGACTCTGTGTTTCATGTTAGGGCTTTCCTCAAATCAGTAGGTGGGCATCATGGCAGGATTGGCAGGTGGTTACAATGGGGAACCCTGCTTCAGGACTCTTAGTGGTCCTTTTGGGGGGGGGCTGCTCATTTTGCCTAGAGAGGACTCCCAGTCTCTTGCTTGGTGGACAGGCAGCCAGCATTCTGGGGGCCAAACTGGGGAAGGGTCCTGGTGGGATCACCAGGCCATTGGTTGGCTTTGACTTAATTCCCTCATTCTGCATCGTGCCCACCTTGCTTCTAGCAAAGCCTGAGGTCCTGAGTTCAGGCTTCCATCAGCACCTTCAGAGAATGAACTTTCTGGCTTTTGCTATGGCAGGAAACAGGGTGGTTGCTTGACTTCCAGAGCAGGAGGAGAGAATGCTTGGGCCTAAATGTTTTCTTTTCTTTTTTTTTTGAGACAGAGTCTCGCTTTGTTGCCCAGACTAGAGTGAGTGCTGTGGCGTCAGCCTAGCTCACAGCAACCTCAAACTCCTGGGCTCAAGCAATCCTGCTTCCTCAGCCTTCCAAGTAGCTGGGACTACAGGCATGCCCCACCATGCCCGGCTAATTTTTTCTATATATATTAGTTGGCCAATTAATTTCTTTCTATTTTTATAGTAGAGACGGGATCTCGCTCTTGCTCAGGCTGGTTTCAAACTCCTGACCTTGAGCAATCCTCTCACCTCTGCCTCCCAGAGTGCTAGGATTACAGGCGTGAGCTACCGCGCCAGGCCAAGTCACCAGTTTTCAACCCTAGCTGGCACTCCCACCTTCAGAGGTCCCAGTGCTGCTAGTTTCTGAGCCCTTGGAGAACCTGTAACACAAATTGGTCTGCTGCTTCTTGGCTTCCTATCTGCGCAGGTACGCTTAGGTTTCAGCTTCTGCTGCTTTGCAAACGAGTGATAACTTTTCTACCCTTTTTCCATCTCACAGGATGTCGTTACCATCAGAAGTCTGCTGTCTTCTTCATGGTTTTATATCTTTTTTGATTCTTGTCATTGTAGTGGATTTTAAGAAGGAACAGTGATAAATGCATGTATTCAGCCTGCCATAATTAACTGCAAGTTTGCAATAAGAATTATGACTACTATCCTTTAAACCAATGCATAGTAGTCCAGTGCCAGCAGATTTTTTGTGAGTTCTAACGGATCACTATAAGGCTGCAGTGACCACTGCTGTAACTCTAGTCTGGGCAACAAAGCGAGACTCTGTCCCCAAAAAAAAGAGATTAGTTCTTTGCCCTAAAAAGAAAAATGTCAGGAAATACGTGCCTGCAGGAGAGCAGTCTCTCTCTGTCTTCCCTGCTCCTCCCTTTTTTCTCCTTAAGCCCTTGCTCTTTTATGAGGCTCATAATCTCAAAAATGCAAGGAAGTACCTTAAAGGTCATTGAGTCCAATTATACATTGTCCTTGAGTCCTCTATGCATCTTCCTTACCAGCCTATGCTTGATTACCACCTGTGATGGGGAGTTCACTATCTCCTGAATGTGTTTATTATTAATAGACACTAACATTTATTGAGGTCTTACTGCATAGCCTGTCATATGTGGTAAGAGTTTGACACGTATTATGTCATCAATCCTCATGGCAACCTATAACATAGGTATTAGTTTTATGATACAGAAACTGGCTCAGAGAAATTAAGGGTACTTTGTAGTTTACTGAACAAGTAAACTACTTTGGGCTTTGGCCATTAACTCTGTAGAAAATGAGAAAAGAGAATTCAAATTTTAAAAATTTTAAGAAAATTTGGTTGGGCACAGTGGCTCACACCTATGATCCTAGCACTCTGGGAGTCTGAGACGAGAGGATTATTTGAGGCCAGGAGTTTGAAACCAGCCTGAGCAAGAAAAAAATTAGCCAGGTGTTTTGTCACACTCCTGTAATCCCAGCTACTCAGGAGGCTGAGGCAGGAGGATTGCTTGACCCCAGGAGTTTGAGGTTACACTAAGTATGATGAGGCCACTGCACTCCAGCTTGGGTGATAGAGCAAGACTGTCTGGAAAAAAAAAAAATTTTTTTTTTTTTTAAGAAAACTTGTTTTCTTATTTACTGAAGTTTGGAACATTTATTGAAAAACAGCAAAGATGGGGAGGCAAGGGCAATATATGTAACCTTAACATTTGTACCCCCATAATACGCTGAAATTAAAAACAAGAACAAAAGAAAAACAGCAAAGGTTCTGTGTGTTAGAGTACAGGATTAAAATTCTGCAGAATTTTTTCTTTTTTCTTCCTTTTTTTGATGACAGGCTCAGTTGTCCAGGTTAGAGTTCAGTGGCATCATCACAGCTCACTGCACCCTCAAATTTCTGGACTCAAAGTAATCCTCCTCCCTCAGCCTCCCCAGTAGCTGGGGCTGTAGGCTTGTAACCCACGCCTGGCTAAATTTTTTTCTTTTTTAAAGGATGGGGTATTGCTATGTTGCTCAGGCTATCATTCTACATTATTTTCTTGTCCAGGCTTCCCTTGTGGGTCTTCCTAAGTTCTTGTTGGTCTTCTTAAGTCCTTGTTGGCTCTGTGATTTCCTTGGTCCTCCATAGCCTATCCCTTCTGGACTTGGCCATTTGTAATGGAGCTGAAAAGCTATATGACCCCCTTGCTAAGCTGGCCCACCTTAGGGGCGGTCTCTGAGCCTCTTCATAGTTGGTTTCCCTGTCCGTGTGCTTGAATGTGAATGTGCCTGACTCTTTCTCATCACCTGTTTTTTTTTTTTTTTGAGACAGAGTCTTGCTTTGTTGTCCAGGCTAGAGTGAGTGCTGTGGTGTCAGCCTAGCTCACAGCAACCTCAAACTCTGGGCTCCTGCCTCAGCCTCCCAAGTAGCTGGGACTACAAGCATGCGCCACCATGCCGCTTGATTTTTTCTATATCTATTAGTTAGCCAATTAATTTCTTTCTATTTATAGTAGAGACGGGTCTCATTCTTGCTCAGGCTGGTTTCGAACTCCTGACCTTGAGCAATCCACCTGTCTCGGCCTCCCAGAGTGCTAGGATTACAGGCGTGAGCCACCATGCCCGGCCACCTCTTTTTTTTTTGAGACAGGGTCTGGCTCTGCTGCCCAGGCTGGAGTACAGTGGCATCATCATAGCTCAATGTACCTGCAAACTCCTGGGCTCAAACGATCCTCCTGCCTCAGAGTCCCAAAATGCTGGGATTACAGGCATGAGCCACCATGCTCAGCCATTTCTGTACATTTTCTAAGTCTGTCTACACATTTTTACTTCATTATAATCATATTGCATGTACTGGTGGTATTGCATCTGACTTTTTTCTCTGAACTTTATAGTAAAGTATTTCCCACTAAAACAATTTACATTCCTATTTATGACTGCAACATGTATTGCTCTGCACTGTATAATTACCCCATGTTGGATTTTCCTTAATCTTTTGTCTTTTTTTTTTTCTTTTTGAGACAGAGTCTTACTCTTGCCCTGAGTAGAGTGCCATAGCATCAGCCTAGCTCACAGCAACCTCAAACTCCTGGGCTCAAGCATTCCTTCTGCCTCAGCCTCCTGAATAGCTGGGACTACAGGCATGCACCATGACACCCGGCTGACTTTTCTATTATTTATTAGTAGACGCAGAGTCTTGCTCTTGCTCAGGCTGGTCTCAAACTCCTGACCTCAAATGATCCTCCCACCTTGGCCTCCCAAAGTGCTAGGGTTACAGGCATGAGCCACTGCGCCTGGCCAGATTTTCCTTAATCTTGTTTCTGTTCTCAGTGTGATGAAAATCTTTGTGCACTCAGGTTTTTGTTTTGGGGATTTTGTTTCGTTGGTAATTAGGATTATTTTCTTAGGATAAATTCCCACAAATGGAATTAAAGAATTTAAGGCTCTTGGTTTTGTTATTATTCTTAGTTTTGTGGTCATGAGAAGCTCTTGTTATTTATTGCTAAATTTCTTTCTCAAAGGACTGTACCTGTATAAGAGCGATTTTCTAATAAGATTCTAAAAATAATTCCACATACTTCATACCTGTGTTCCTTCAGGAATGCTACTTGGTTTGTGACTACTTTTCAGTGCTTTAAACTGATTTTTTTACCAGCTTTATTTTTTATTAAACTTTTTTTTTTTTTTTTGAGACAGGAGTTCACTTCTTGCCCTGAGTAGGTGCTGTGGTGTCAGCCTAGTCACAAGCAAACCCTCAAACTCCTGGGGCTCAAAGCAACCTCCCTGCCTCAGCCTCCTGATTAGCTGGGCACTATAGGCATGCACCAACCATGCCCAGCTAATATAATAATATGTGTGTGTGGTTGCTGTGTGGTATTGATATTATATATATTTTTTTAGTTGTCAGTAATTTCTTTTCTTTTAGTAGAGACAGGGTCTCACTCTTGCTCAGGCTGGTCTCGAACTCCTGAGCTCAAACAGTCCTTTCACCTCAGCCTCTCAGAGTGCTAGGATTACAGGTGTGAGCCACCACGCCCCACCTGAACTTCATATTTTGATATGATTGTAAGATTTACATGCAGAAAGAGAATGAATGCATAAGTGAGTGAGTGAAAAAGAAAAAGATTCACATGCAATTTTAAGAAATGATGCA